CCCTCTCTCCCTCTGTCTCTTTCACGCATACACACATGCATAAAACACCAACATAAGCTATCACACAAAACATTAGTAAATGATCGCCCCCGGCACATCAACAGTCTGAAACAGACAGCTAGTGGAATTAGGCTAAAAAGATCTGCTCTTACCACTGTAGTATGGGTAACATTTTTAAATGTAATAATAGATGTAAAGGGTAGCGATTGTAACTTAAAGTGTGCAGATGTGGAGTTTTTTTATTATTTTTGTTTTTCTTTTATAACTTCACTCAGTGCACAAGGGTAGACAATTATGCACTGATTTACAAAATGTTATTTTTAAAAGGTAAATATACTGTAACTGGAGATACAGCAGCTCGATATAGTTGATTTAATGTAATTATGTATTTTTGTGTTCCAAGAGATGTGAAGTACAACTGTGTTTTTTTAGGTTAGAAAATCTAATAAAATTGTCTTTTTAAAATGTAATTTTTTTCATTTAGTTTTTTTTTAATTACACCACCACTCATTATTAGCCAAAGTTAAGCTCTAGTGTGTGCGCCGTATGTGTGCTAGCACGTTTTACAGCATCTCAAGTTGCATAAGTCAAATTCGTGTGGCCCTGACACACATACAGTTTGAAATATTAGTATGATTTCTTCAAACAAACTGCAGGTTGGGCAGCACTCCCTCCAGTCTTAAATTCTGTTTTTCCTTTTACTAGCACTAATCATTCGATATATTAGTGTGGGACAAGTGCTCATTCAAAATATACAGTATATTATTTGTTTTATGTTAATTATATCTAACATTTAAAATCACTGATATTTAAAAAGCAGACAAATACATTTGAAATGATAGAGGAGCAGTGAGTTCACTTTGAGTGTCTTCCCTTTCACCCTCTGATTCACAAACTTTCTACCTGACTTTTTTTCCCCCTCTTAACTGTGTCGCTGGCTGGCCAGAGGTGCTAGCTATCTCTGCCTGTGCTGAATGTATTTTCCCCCCCCCCTTTCCCTCCTACTCTCGCAGGCCCCTGCAGTGGATCTCTGGGAAAAATGGCCTCTGTCTTTTTTCAGTAGCTTGAACAGTAATATAGCATGTGTCAGGGAATGGAAAACAAGCCTAAAAAATATGCAGCAAGAAGCAAACTGGTAGGAATGGATGGCTGAGCCCGAGGCTGGGCCTGTGGCTGCTACCAAGGAAGGAAGTGACTCTAATAGCCCAGCACAGCCCCCCACCCCCCCTGCTCCTTCTTCTTCTACCACTACTACTTCTCCTTCTTCTAAACTACTTTTTCACTGCAGTCTTGACTTCTTATTGCCTTTGTCTTATCTGGAAATGCAAGCAAATGTAGGTCACATACAGTGACAGAAATCCATCCACATTGTGCATTTAAATTGGTCACAGTACATTGTGTGGAGATAGCCATTGTAGAATTCATCATGCTTGTATTTATTCTGCATCTATACTGCTGATATTTTTAGTATGTTACAGTAGAATAGTAATCAGTACACAAAACTCATGTGGCTCTTGGCCAGCTTGTCTCTGAATCATTTCTGGCAGCTATGTCTGAAAAGGGACCAAAAGTTGATTTCTCCCCAAACAATTCCTCTTGGGGATGGCGTATAAGTGGAGAAATGATGCAGCGGACCCGCAGTTTCAGACTTTTTAGTCTCCCTTCTCCCTTACAAATGGTTTCATTCTTTGAAATACCACAGTGAAGTACATAATCTTGATTTTTTTGCTTCCTCAGGGTATGAAGACAGCAGGCACTGTCAGTGGCCAGGTCCGGATGCCCATGGTGATCACACAGTCAGTCAGAGCACAAGGTAAGGACATTCCCCAGCCACTTTGGATTGGACCTACTGATTTTAATCACATGTACAGTGTCTGACATTATTATTCCAGGCATTCTTTTGTTCATGTGTGTGAAAAAAGATTAAAGTAAGTTCAGTTAAAGATGAAAGATTAAACAAAGAGTTCTGAAAATATGAGTTTCAGAGTCTCTGATGATGTCCTCCGACACACACTTTTCTTCTGGTTCTGGCCTCAGATTTTTTCATCTCCCAGTAAGGCTGCATTCTCGGGCCAGATATTTCAAGATTTTCAAACTCAGCCTGACCTTCTGGTTAAGGGGAGAGCCAGCGAAATCGGTTAAACAAAGATAGCCATTAGTGAAACCCTAAATGTTCTCTCAGTAGGCTATAAGATGTGTAAACAGACAGGAGCCACAGAGAGAACAGGTGTTTTTTCCCGTCTGGTTATAAAGCCTTCTCAAACATTTGCGCTGCTGCTTACTCACACTGATTCACAAACACTCTTCCCACAGAAGCCCACAAATATCGCCCCAACACCAACCGGGCGTAACGCTCCCCTAAGAGAGCTGTGTGCTCTCAGGTGGTGTGTGTAATGTGTGTACGTGTTTGTACCTGTTTTTGCTTGTGTGTGTGTGTGTGTGTGTGTGTGTGTGTACGATCAGAGGTGCATACAAATTTGATCTGCCCCCTTCCCCAAGATTGCCTGCAGTAAAAGATCTGTAGGTTGTTTTATGCCCATAAATTGGAATGCGGGGATAGTTCTAAAAATACTTTTCTGTGCCTCTTGGCTAGGAACATGCCTGTTAAAATCAAGTTTAAATTCACTCTGGCAGTCCTTGTGCCTCTCTGGAAAATGTGTCTCGGAGCAGGATGCGGTTTAGGAGTGTAAGGAGAGCCGGTGAAGCGCAGTGATATTGACAGAGCGACGCTTTCCGCACCAACCTGGGGAGAGCGACAGTACCGCTCCCCCTGCCCCCCCCCTCCATCTACCCCTGAGAGGATGACAGACACAGTTGAAGGTAGTCGTTAGACAGGAGGATATTTGACGCAGATAGAAAGGGACACTTCAATGATAACATTACTCTGTTCCTGTTTTGTTTAGTGTTTTTTTTTTTCTCCTTTGCTCAACAGGCACAATGGGGAAGGGAGCCATCATCCAAGCAGGCAAAAGTCCCGTGGCTGTTCAGATCTCTGGGAATCAGAAAAACAAGCTCAATGACCCAGGAGGAGGCTCTTTCAGGTACATCTCGCCAGGAGGCCGGCTGTAGAGTGCCTGTTGTTCCTAGCAGCCATCACATGGGGGCAGCATTTCACTAAGATGCCTCCGTATGACTACAGGCTACACTCTCAGCTAAGGCTACGAGTGCCTGGCCACCTGGCCGCCTGCCTGCCTCGGCTGCCAGGCTGGTTGATCGGTGGTCCTTTCTCTCCCTGCGCCCACCACATAGCAACACACTGCCAACCAATAGATCACCCTCACGATCGCCCTCTTTGTGTCAGTGTCACAACCCATCGACAGGATTACAAATGAGCTAAATCTTAATTTAGAAATAAGGTAATTGTGTCCAGATGGTTGGAATTTCTGGATGCGGTTCTGAAAATACCTTTTGGTTAAGTCAAACATACGGTATTTAGCCCGCAGCTTTGCTCTCTCTCTCTGGTCTCATCTCTGCTTCAGCTACGCTTTTGTCTCAAAACATAAAAGGTTCATCGCCCACATGCTGGCCTTTGTGGTCCATGTTTTGTGTGATTCTTTGTGTATTTGTGTTTGTGTGTGTGCATCATATACATACTAGTGTGTGTGTGTGTACATGTTTGCATATATGCCTCTCTGTGTTTGTTTGTGTCCCTGCTTGGGTGCACATGGACATATGTGTATATCCTAAAAATCTGAGAATACTGTTTATCCGTGTGTGTGTATCAAATGTGTGTATGCGTGTATTGACAGGAGCAGGGGTGTAGGATTGCCCTGGCATGACCGGGCCAGGGTAAGAAGAGTGTCTGGGTCACATGGGCCAACGGGTTCATGGTAATGGCTCCCGTCTCCTGAGGGGAAAGGCAGCGCCCGAGGCTCTGATTGATAAACCAATAAATCTTTAGCTGCGTTGGTAATTAAGCTGTCAGGCTCGCTTGTTACTGACAACCTTTTTCCCCCTGCGGTGATCACAGTGGCCCTCAACACACAAACGCACTAGTTTCAGCATAAGCCCAATAACACAGAGCACCACTATCACGGAAGAAGCATGTCACTGACATTTTGTAGCATATTTTCCTTTTATCCAGGTCAGGTGACAGTCTGCCTGCTCTGCACTTGCATGTTAAACAAGCTACACAGTGCGTGGTCCCTTAGCACCATTCTTGCTTCTGTCCATGTGTTTGTCTCTACATGCAGGTTTGTTTCTTTCACAGCACACTCCTTGACTCACATTTTCAAGTTTAGTCAAATATAAGGTTGCTGAGGCTGATTTTAATGTTTAAAGAGTGATAGACCTCGGTTGACATTATCGTTATTTCTTTTATTTTTTGTTTTTTCACTGTTCCTCAGTCAGTATTCTCTCTGAGGGTCTTTCGAACTGCTATAAAATACTTCTTTAACCTTCATCTCTATTCTTAGTATTCACTGCCAACAGTATTAAACTCTTTACTTATGGTTTCAGCTGGACCTCAGTTGGTTACTTGTGTCTGAAACCTCTCGGCCTCATTCACTGTTTATTGTTGGTTGTCGTTTTTTTTACCTGAGGATATAAACGTGTTGGAACTGAGCGCAGTGTTGCAAAGCGATCGGTCTGATGCCATTGTGTCTTCACACCACGTCCGGAAACCTGCAACATGAACATGATGACTTGACCTGTGAGCAGAGGTGGCCGCTGTGTTTCCTGTAAACCTCAGTGGAAGAAAACAGTTATATTCGCTTTACAAGTTGTTCCCTGTGAGTTGCTACTGAGTTTGATCTTCAGCACTCACAACATGCCGTTAGCACGATATAGTCAAAGTCAGGTCAGATTTATTCTTAAAAGTGTCTTTGGCATGATACTAAAGTACAAACTCAATAAACAAACTGTTAAGATAAGAGAGGAGCAAATATCCTCGTGAGGAAGAAAAGAAAATCAGCTGAGTGGGGCTGGCCTGGTCAGTCCGCATCCACCAGCCTCTCACCCATCCAGCCTGCACAGTGTTCAGCTGTAGTCGGGGGACTGATGTGTGTATGGCTGTCACTCTGAGCCGCTGGTCCCAGCGGGCCAGCTGTAGCACAAACACACACATACACACTGCAGGGCTTGTGGGGTTTCCAGTGCAGCTACAGCCTTCTGTGTAAGTGCCTGTGTGTGTGTGTGTGTATGTGTGTGTGTAGTTTACAGTACAGAGTGAAAGCAGCTGTCTCTGTACCCCCCTCCTCCCCTCCTCATCTCTCTGTAAACACTCGACATCCGCTGTAATCACAGGCAAGCCAGCCGAGGCCCTCAGCCCTCTGCCAACCTCCGAGCTCAGCCGAGGCCCCTCAAATCCAACCCTGTCCTACATGGTGGACACACAACAGTGCGCCTAAACACCCAAACACACTCATAGTTGCACAGGAAAGGACACACGCAGACATACATGCAAAATAAGGAACAGAAGTGTTCACCTAATATTGTTGCCAGTGAATTCCACCAGCCCTTTTCCATCATTTACCAGCAAAGTGAGTTAATTCTGTCTTTGTGGTTACATCCTTTGTTGCTCTATAAATTGCTCTGTGATGTGCCTGTTTTGCTAAAAAAAAAAAAAAAAA